GGAGGGGTGAAATGTTTATTGAACATTTACAAGGCACGAGTTGATTTACATACATTATTTCATTTAATTGTGAGCATAACCCTGTCAAGTAGATATTATTAATTGTATAGTGGAAGATACAGAGTCTCAGAAAAAGTAAATTGATTTGACCAAACCCACAAATAGTAAGTGATGAAACTAGGACTTCAGCTTATGCCTATCTGATTCATTCCATAGCTCATAAAACACACTCAGAGAGATGTATCTCCCTTATCTCTAGCTCATCTGCATCTTCCAGCTCAGCATGCATACACACATGCACAGTGTTTCCTTAATCCAGGCCGTACTCAGAAAGTATAACTGAGAAATTTCAGAAAAGTGGCCCAGATAGCAGCTTCAAGCTCAGCAGTCTCATTCCAATACTATAATGGCAGCAATATCTCCCCTATTTATGTGAAATATAAAATGCCTTTTTGTACTTTATTATAGCTAAAGCTTAAGAGAAAAAAATAAACATATCACATTTGTTACTTGGTGTACTGCTTTTCACATTTTTATCCACATGCGGACACCTGAGAGTTATGCTGAGACCACAACAGTGGGCTTCAGGGAGGAAAAGAAATCATATGCAGAGAGGCCAGTGGACTGGGTTTTTTTCCTACTATAAAGCCCCAAATAAAGTGGCCCTGTTTTGGAAAACAGTGTCCAAGTCTAATTTAACTCGTCTAGCATCACTTGCCAAAGAATCCAATGTAATAGTTTCAACAGGTAGAGGGGATCAGCGACCTAGAGGGTTGGTTCCATGAGAGAAGCTGGGTTGTTGGGTCCCAACAAACAGTAGGAAAAGAGCCTCCAGCCCCCCAAGGCAGAAATGAGCGAAACCAGGCAAGTTACATTTCGAAAAGGTCTTCTGTCCAAGTAGAAAATCTGTTAGGAGTCCAATCATGCAGACAAAGCCTGAAAGCTACAGTTAAGGGAAGAGATTTCCTGTGAGTCCCCAGGAACTTAGACAGAGGAANCCAGGCAAGTTACATTTCGAAAAGGTCTTCTGTCCAAGTAGAAAATCTGTCAGGAGTCCAATCATGAAGACAAAGCCTGAAAGCTACAGTTAAGGGAAGAGATTTCCTGAGTCCCCAGGAACTTAGACAGAGGAAGGGTCATTTATCTTGGGTCTGATCCAGGTAACACAGAAGCTTCAGCATAAAAGCCTGAGTTCCTACAGCTGTGCAGAGCTGAGTGAGCAGCGTCTGACAATTGACACGCTATTGATAACTTATTACAAATTTCAGTATTGCAAAGACTCTTATTCTCTGGCAAAGAAACACAGATGGATGAAGTGACTTGTACAAGCATCAACGTGTGGCAAATTCGTGACCAGAACTCATATTCTGTGGGTTTTCATCTAAAACACCTTTGACCCATTTCTGTGGGTGACTCTACAATGAAGGAGACAAGGTTGGGAATAGTGGTTGTTGTGTTTCAGATCCCTGTGGCTGCTTTAATATTTAAAGTAATAATAATTGTAATTAATTCAAATACAAACTAATTTGAAGTTCCTCTACGGGTCACCTATATTTGAATTATCTGTACAAATAATTGATGATTACTTTTAACTATATTGGACAGCAATAGCAATGTTGACCCCAAAAGGTAGGAAATCCTAAAATTGCATTATTAAGCACAATATAATGCCTCCTCCCTCTTACCCCAATGCATATTTAAGTGAATCTCTTTTTACTGACAGTCAACATGAGAATTAAAATCTATTTATGACACCCCAAATAGCTAAACACATACAGAGAAGCAAGAGTTGAGTGTCTTTTCCCACTGAATACTGGGAATTTTATAAAATAGCATAAAAATTTTATTCAGTTTAAATTGAGGAGCAGTTGTCACAAGCTATTATTTAATCTTTTCTACAAGTTTTAAAGTAGTCACTGAGCAGGCTGTCAAAATAGTAACACTGTTAGAAGCTTTATGCACGCATTGTAAATTCTGGCACAATTTCCAATTTTAACAACTAAACTACACTTTTAAAGTGCATTTGCTGTTCCCCTTCTCTTTCTGTATTTTCAGTGCTTATCACGATATTTAGTACTAATAACATGTGTATGAAACAAAAATGTTCTGAGTGCTATTAAGAGCACTCTCTGGTATACCACTGTTAAAAATACAATGGCTTTTTCAGGATCGTTATTTTTACTAATTATAACTAAGACACATATACCAGAGATAGCAATCTAAATTGACTTGAGATTCCTTCAAAAAGCTGTCTTTCTAAATGTACTGCTTTTCATTAATTATGTCTTATTAACTGTCACAATGTATTATATCTGTGCACAGCATGATGTTAAATAGCGTGAGGCAGGGAATGAGAAGCAGTGTGAGACGTTGCAAGCATTACATTTTTATGAGACAGCATTCGTGTTGAGTCTGAATGCCTGCGGTTAATTTAGAGAACAAGTATTTGAGTTAAAATTTTAACCTGTTTAGCAAACCAAGTATTCCTTAAGGTAGGCGAGGTAGAAGTATTGTAATAACTCCCGTGTGACAATTACCACACCTGCGGTTCTGTGAGCAAGAAATATACTTTATTTCAGGTGGAGGTGTCCTGTACGCTGTAGTATGAAACTCTTTACTTTTTTTCTTCAGGTCCTCAAGGGTTTTCCAGAATGTTTACAAGCTGACATTTGCCTACATCTAAACCAGACTTTGCTACAAAACTGCAAAGCCTTTCGGGGGGCAAGTAAAGGTTGCCTGAGAGCTTTGGCAATGAAGTTCAAGACCACCCATGCACCTCCGGGAGACACTCTGGTTCACTGTGGGGATGTCCTCACGGCACTTTATTTCTTGTCCAGAGGCTCCATTGAAATCCTCAAAGATGACATTGTAGTAGCTATTCTGGGTGAGTGTTTTAGAACTGGATGGTGACAAATCCAGTTACAAGCTGGTGCAAGGCATAGTTTAAAATGATAGAAAAAAATGACAGATCTGTTCCTTTATGAGTACAATTTAAGACTGATGGGTAATTTTAAAGCTTTATTTCAATTCAATTCAAATCAAATTAACCTCTCAGAAAAATCTGTTTTCTTGACTCTCACTTTTTCTCTGATGTGTAAACGTTTCTGTGACGCTCCCTGTCCTTGGCAGCTGCTTAAGCATTTGAGGCCCAATATATGAAAGCAGTCAGTATTTTTCTTTTCATCTTAGAGGATTTTGGATTCATGCTCGATCCCTTAACACCGTAAATAAAATGTACATATTGTAAGCATGTGCCAATGCCCTGTCATGAACTGGGTTATGTTTTGATGAATTTCATCTATTATCATGCACTTTGACCTGCTCCATACCATCAAACGGACTCATGTGAGTCGTTATCTAGGGGACAGAGAGCCATGAACTTGTGGTGAGGAGATAATAATTAGTAATAAACTGGTTTGGGTGCCAAAGAGAGTCATCTGTCCACTCTGTCCCTTCAAACGTAAATTGAGCCAGGGTGAACTTAGTTAAGGTGTCCACACTGACTGGCTGACTGTGTGCTCACTCACAGTCATGTAAGCTGATTAAAATACTAAGCCTGAGCTGAATCTAGGTCCAGGATTTTCTTTGACAATAACTACACTGAAGTATGAAAACTGTGAAGAATGTGAAAAGATTCTCTTTTTCTGCCTCCAAATCCACACCTGAAATCCTCACTAATTATGATTATTAATTCTATTTTTTAAAAGCTAAGCATTTATTTAAAGTTAATATATTTGCTCTAATATCCAATTTTATTATGAAGATATAGTATCTGATTTCTCCCCATTAAATTCATATTTAAGATAAGAACATTACAGTCGTTTTTTGACTAGTTCGAACTTTATTGTTTCAAAGTCTTTGATAGTTTCCATGGTTGGGTATATGTGAACTTGTCTAACAAAAATAAAATTAACAGGTCCAGAGAGTTTTTTCTAAATATGAAGAGAAGCTTCAGGGTATATGTAAGTATTATTTTTCATTGCCACTGGGGATCTTTAAAAGTTATATAACCAATAATCTATCAATAGTTATTTAGTACCTATTTCACAGGTACAATTTTTAAGTGTCTTTACATTCAGAGACAAATCTAAGTGGCCATGACATTCAGGGAAAATATTGGGGGGAATTTAAACATAAGAGGAATGTAAAGATTTAGACTGGAGTCAGCATGCATGGGATTTAATCATGGTTACTCTCTCCTCCCTTTACCCAACTAATTAGGTCATCGTGACCTAATAAGTGTAACTCATTAATCCTCTTTCCATATGCATAAAATTTAGATAATAATTAGTAATTTTTTATTAGGTTATTTGGGGTATTAAATGAAATAATGCACCTAAGCATTTGACACAGTGCCTGGCACCTTCTTAGTCCTCAGTGAGCATTTGTTGTTGCTGCTTTCATTGTCATCCTCACCACTCAACAGTACCTGGAAAAGCCGGTGGCATGTGGCCCGGCAGAGGGGATAGGAAAAGCCCTCCCGAAGCCAGACACTGAAATAACTCCAGGTTTGGCAAGAATGCAAGGACACACTTCTAGAATGAAGGCCATGTGGTAAACAAGCATGACTATATATGTTGAGAAAACATAACTAGATTTGTTAAACAATTGGACAAATTCATTAAAGGCAAATCCAAAAGTGGTTACTGAAGAAAACAGTATATTCAAATTATACCCCTAGTCCTCTAAGTCTTGCAAGTGTTCCACCATAACCCCATGCTTAGCATCTCCTGCAGAGGCCATCCTGAGATAGAAAGTTCACCAGTCTGACTCACACAGCCTTTTTGATATTCTTGGGTTAACAAAATTAGACCACACCTATTATGTGGCAAGGAATTTTTTTTTTTAGGAATGTGGGGCATAGCAGACTAAAGCCATATTTGCTGCATTCCAGTTGTTTAGCCAAATAATCAAAACAAGAAAATAATAGGGTTTATACTAGGAGAAGTGCACTAAAAGGCAAATTCCACCCAGCAAACAAATGTAACTGGGGTAATTAGTATGAGGTATTTTGCTGCCGAAGAGTCTGTTGGCCATGGGGTTTTACATTTGAAACCTTTAGTTCAGAGATTAGTCTTACTACTTTTAGAAAAATAACAACAACAAAAACATTAAATTTGCATCCCTTTAATTCCTTTTCTTTCTTTTTTTTTTTGAAGGAAAAAACGATATATTTGGAGAAATGGTTCATCTTTATGCCAAACCTGGAAAGTCTAACGCAGATGTAAGAGCTCTCACATACTGTGATTTGCATAAGATCCAGAGAGAAGACTTGTTAGAGGTTTTGGATATGTATCCCGAGTTTTCTGATCACTTTCTCACAAATCTAGAGTTGACTTTCAACCTAAGGCATGAGAGTGCAAAGGTAGATGTTAACTGTTTGCTTATTCCTTGTACTTTTGACATTTTATTTTATTCTTAAATTGCCCAAATACCCCTGAAAAGTCAAGCAAAATATTGTAACAAAAGTTTACCAATTCTGAAAATTTGGAAGCAAAATCCAATTTAATATTGAAATGTCTAAATTATAGGGAGTAAATTCAGTCTAATTATTTTCATATATATTAAATAACTTTAAGTAGGTCAGTTAAATTTGACCTTTGAGGAACTCTTAGGTGACACACTTGATTTAAAATAGCCTTGGCTTATATCGGGTGTGCCAACTACTTGTAAGAAATGGGTGATTCTAAAGTATTGAAAATTCCCTAAATAAGTTTATCTTACACAGAGGTTAAAATACTCTTGCAGCTATTATATACATGATATATTGGTTAGCAACGTCTTTTTAATAATAATGAAAAAATTAAACTTACTCAAGTTTAGGTCCATATTTAACACAATTTCCAAATCAGAGAAGTAAAAATTAATAAGGCTTCTACCTGAATCAAAATTAGTGCTGCAGAATGAAAAGCATACAGTCTAATAAAAATATTTTAAGTGATTCTACATATAATTTACCCAAGGATGAGTTCTGAGAGTGTAGCCCTTATATCCTTCATTTTCCTCCACTATGAAAATACATCCTTATGATCTACCACTATTTTAAGAATATAAAATTTATGTTGCAGCCCACAATTTATTACTAGTTATTCCTCCATTCTCTTCCCCCAAAAAAATCTTGTTATCCCAACTCCAATTGTAAGTACTTTTTGGTCAGAAATAAAATGTTGGGCTTTTGAAACTTGCCGATGTATTTTAATGTTAACTATGTACTGTCTGGAAATAAAGATCCTCAAGTCAATAGGGAGGTAAAAGGTGATAAATTTAACTCTTCCTGGAGTTACAGTCATTTCCAGGTACTGTGAGAGAGGTAAAGATAAAAATAAACTTTAATTTTTTTTTTTATTATTTTTTTTAATTACAGTTGACATTTAGTATTATTTTATATTAGTTTCAGGTGTACAGCGTAATGATTAGACAATTATACAATTTACAAAGTGATCCCCCCAATAATTCTAGTACCAACCTGGCATCACACATAGTTATTATAATATAATTGACGATATTCCCTGTGCTGTACGTTATATCCCTGTAACTACACTGTACTTCTTAATCCCTTCCCCTTTTTCACTGGACTACCCAGCCCTCTTCCCATCTAGTAGCCCTCAGTTTGTTCTTGTATCTATGAGTTTGTTTCTGCTCTATTTTTTTATTTTGTTCTTTAGAGTCAGCATGTAAGTAAAATCATATGGTATTTGTCTTTCTCTGACTTATTTCACTTAGCGTAATACTGTCTAAGTCCATCCATGTTGTCGCAAATAGTAAAATTTCATTCTTTTTATGACCAAGTAATATTCCATTGTATATATGTACCACCATTTCTTTTTCCATTTGTCTGTTGATGGGCACTTGGGTTGCTTCCATGTCTTGACTGTTGTAATTAATGCTGCAGTAAACATAGGGGTACATATCTTTTCAAATTAGTGTTTTGGATTTCTTAGGAAATATACCCAGAAGTGTAATTTCTGGGTCATAAGGTATTTCTATTTTTAGTCTTTTGAGGAACCTCTGTTTTCTATAGTAGCTATACCAATTGGCAATACCACCAGCAGTACAGGAGGGTTCCATTTTCTTCACATTCTCATCATTTGTCATTTGTTGTTTATTGACTTATTGATGGCAGCCATTCTAAAAATTGCAAGGTGATATCTCATTGTGGTTTTAATTTGCATTTCTCTAACAATTAGTGACATTAGCATCATTTCATGTCTATTAGCTATTGGTATGTTTTCTTTGGAGAAATGTCTTTTCGGGTCTTTTGCCCATTTTTTAATCAGATTGTTTGTTTTTTTGGTGTTGAGTTGTATGAGCTCTTTATAAATTTTGAATATTAACCCCTTAGAGAATGTATCATTGGTGAATAAGTTGTCTTATTCAGTGGGTTGTCTTTTCATTTTGTTGATTTCCTATGCTGTGCAAAAACTTTTTAGTTTGACTTTTAAGGTCACTAAGGTACATGAAGCACCAGCTCAGTTCATCTAATTCTTTTCAAAACACTAAAACTGAAAAATATTTAGGTGGTAAGAGGTTCAAATTATCAATAGCATATGTCTTTTTAATAGTTTTACTTCAGCATTTTATCAAATCCCAGTTTAATGCTACTAAAACATATTCTGATTTTGCCTTGAAAACAGCTAGTATCTATTACACATAACTTCTTTACATAAAAAGTTTAGGCAGCAATCAAATAAATAAAACAATAGGTTTCATTCATTTTATTTATGTGAGAGTTTCCATTTTTATTTACAAGTCTGATATTTTACAGAGTGAACAAGAAGGTTGGGAGAGAAAGAACTGGAGGAAATAATCAAGGGTTCAAAGCGTAGGGTTTATTGAATTCAACCTTATATTTATTGTTGTGAAACTTATTTTCTTTTTCTTGTGTGTGTGTTTTTTATTGGATTTATTGGGGTGACATTGGTTAATAAAATTATTTAGGTTTCAGGTATACAGTTCTATAATATACCTGTATATTATAGTGTGTGTCCACCACCCAAGTCAAGTCTCCTTCTATCACCATTTATCCCCCTCTACCCTCTCCTCCTGACCCCAACCTCTTCTCCTCTGGTGATCACCATGCTGTTACCTGTGTCTATGAGTTTTTTATTTGCTTTCTTTTATTCTTAGCCCCTTCACCTTTTTCACCCAGCCCTCCAATCTTCCTCCCCTCTGACAGCTGTCGGTCTGCTCTCTGTATCTATGAGTCTGTTTCTACTTTGTTTGTTGGTTTATTTTGTTCATTAAATTCCACATATGAGTGAGATTGTGTGATGCTTCTCTTTCTCTGATGGGCTTATTTCACTTAGCGTAATACCCTGCAGGTCCACCCGTGCTCTCACAAAGGGTAAGATTTCTATTTTTTTACTGCTGAGTAAATGTACCACCTTCCAATCATTACCATGTAATTTAAATATCATACCTAATTATGATGGGTTCACTTTTTTTTTTCTCTGAAGTAATATGCATTCTGCAAAGTTTTTTTTAATTTTTTATTATTTTTATTTTAATTTGACCAAGTTATGCAAAGTACATTCCACATGAAGGAACATGATTATAATTCAGAGACAACCATTAAGCAAAGCATTGTAGCCATTTGCCTACAATCTAATAATTAAGTCTCACAGTGGTTGGAATCATATGAAATAGTAAAGGGTTTACTGATAATGTATTATGTGAAAATGGAATAAACTCCCATTTTTATCTTCATGTTCTATTAACAAAGGCTGATCTCTTACTACGATCACAGTCCATGAATGACTCTGAAGGAGACAACTGTAAATTACGAAGAAGGAAATTGTCCTTTGATAGTGAAGGAGAGACAGGTAATTCACTCTATTTATAAAGTTTAAATGTAGAGTATGTGGTTATTAGTTCTTCTTACTTAATTACTCATTATATTTCTGACTTTAAGGGGAAACTTTATTCAGGTTTTAGGAAGGCAATCTTTTGCTTTTTTTCAGTGGCTAATAATATGGTTCCTGATTGAAAGCTCTCAGCGATGTCATTCAACAAAGCCATCTGATATCTATAAGGACATCACTGATAGAGAAATAGAAGAGATTGATTTTTTTTTTTTAAAAAAAGAGGCCAACTAATAACAATTGAATAACTATGCCTCAGAGTTCTGAGCCAAGTGTTCTGGAGGCAAGACTCCCTTGCAGGCTGAGTGCTCAGTCCTCACAAGTATGCATGGCATGCATGAGGTGGGATTCTCTGAGGCACTTGCCACTCCTTTTCCCCTCTAGGTTTTTCTGTCCTTTTAACTTTTCTTTATGTTTTACTCACATACACAGCAAGTTATATTACATTTCACATTTTTAAAAAGCTACTCTATTTCTGAGAAACAAATAGTATAAAACAGCCCTTTCCCTCCCTAGGAAGAGACATAACACACCCTCTATCTTTTCAAATATAAATAGTAGGTGCTGCAACCAGATTAAGCACATCTCAGTGGGAAGTCAAATGAGGGTACATCTAATTGTGCCTGGGCAGATGGGAGAAGACTTTCCTGAAGAAGCCTCCATGCTTGCCTCATGCTGATCCAACAAAAATTCTAGTCTTCACCTTATTTGGCCTCTCAGCAGAATCACTGTGAACCAATTCCCTTCTTCATCCTGAATATTTTTCTCTTGGCATCTGTGGCACTGCACTCATCCTGTTTTCCTCCTACTCTCACTAATTCCCTGAAGATAATCACAGGATTATTATCTTCTAAACTTGTACATTAGTTATTAAAGTTTTTCAAGGCAGGGTTCTAGGGCCTTTTCTCTTATTCTGTATCATACTCTTTCCCTGGGTGATCTTATTTGTGCCTACAGTTTTATTATATTCTCACATAAGAAATGTGCATATTTACTTCCTTTTTAAAAGATATATCTTCATTGGTTTCAGAGAGAGGAAAGCAGAGGGAGAGAGAGAGAAACATCAATGACAAGAGAGTTGTCATTGATCGGTTGCCTCCTGCACACCCCCCACTGAGCCATGCCTGGCAGGGCCATATTTCCTTCTTAATCCCAGACCACCTAAACTTCAATCTCATATATCCAACTGCCTATTAAACCATCAACTTGAAATCTCAAACACGACCAAACTCAAGATTTCCTAAACTGAACTCGTGATATCCCCCTGGAAACCTGTCTCCCTATCAGTTGCCATGTCTCTAAATGGCACCACCATCCAATCAACTGCACAAACCACATATCTATCTAGGCTCTAACCTTCTCTCAACCTCTCCAGCAACTCTGGCAACAAGTCTTATTATTGCTACCTCCAGTACATCTCAATTCAGTCATCAACTAGATCCTTTTGGTTTACTTCTTTCCATCTTCATAGCCACAACTCTGAGCCAAGGTACCATAATCTGTCACCTGGAATATTAAAGTAGCATCCCAACTCACCTTGCCTCTCTCTGATCTATTGTCCACACTGGATGACTGTTGAACTTTTTTCAAAATGCAGTTATGTTTATGTCACCCACATATTTAAAGGCCTCTAAGGATTTCCCATTCCCTAAATTCTTAATAGGGTGCTCTATGGCTACTTCTTCAGTCTTATCTGATACCACCCATGCTATCACCACTTAACCTGGCCTTCTAAGATCAGCTCCTCTATTTTGCAGCATTCCGGTTGTACTTCTATGTTTATTTGCATTGTTATTTCATAGATTTTTGTCTTCCTCTAGATTGTAAATCCCATGAAAATGGTAAATATTTAGTCACCTTTCAATGCTTGCCACGTAGCAAGTGTTCAACAAATATTTGTTGAAAGAATTAATGAATTAATAAAATAAAATTTAAGCATCTTACTGTTGATTCAATTCCTTTTACCTTTTTAATCCAAGTTCTTTTCTTGGCCTTCTTCTCTTTGAATTCTCTCCCTAGGGGAGCTCGTCTACCAGCTTCAACTTGCTCCTATATTTCAAGTGAACTACATACACTGCCCTCTTGTTCATGTGTTTTTGCTCATATTATTATCTTAATTGGATTTTACCTCTCTGTCCTCAAACACACACACAGACACAGAACCATAACACACTTTCATCCACTAAAGTTACTTTTTTTTGGGTCAATGTTAATCTCTAATCACATATGCAACCTAAACTCTTTCTCAATTTCCTTAAATATATCATTTTTCTTTCTCTTGTGAATTCCTGAGACATTCACCTCTTGTTATATTTTCAGAATCTGCCCTATACAGTAGTTATTGGTGAACTTGTCCTTTTTCTCTACCAAACTATAGATTTCTTTAGCAAAGAACAATTGATAAATTTGTTGAATTGGGTAATTGTTGATTCCTCTGGCTGATTATGGAACAACAAACCACTCACAGATAGGTGATCATTTATTTCTGAAATCTCCTTCATTTTTCTCTTGGTAACTTTTTCCTAAAATTGGAACCATTACTGTCAAGTCATTTTTCCATAGACTTAATCTAAATTCCTTATCTTGAAGTTCATCTCTTGTTTTGATCTTGCTGGAAATGAAGAACAGCTCGACAAGGTTGTCCATGTAATAATGTCTCCCAAACAGTTGAAGATTTATTAAATCTCTTTTTAATCTTGTTTTGTTTCTTCTTTCTCAAGCTAAATTATCTAATGTTTTAATCTCCTGAGAACATATCGCAATTTATATTGTGCCCATCCAACTAGGCATTTCTGTTGATTCTTAAACTTTCCCCCTAATCACTGGCTTAGTCTGTGACACCATTTTATATAAAGTGTTTTGCCTGCTTCCCTGCAACTCTTTGACATTTCCTGGTGTTTCAGTGAGTAAGTATGATTTGGTTAATATGAAAACATAATTAACTCCAGTTATCCAGAACCTGAGAGCCTATTCTAGTCTTCAGGACTCCATGCTACCATAGACAAGTGGAGAAGTTGCTGAGAGCAGTTTAGCCTTTGACACCCCAATCTAATGCTCTGAAGGTGCTTACCCATTCTGTACTTCTTAATGTAGAATCAATATCTAGGAGAAAAGCATACATGTAAGTAAGTATAAAAAACAGAGAACTTTCAGGAAATAATTGATGCTAAATGATATGGGGCCACATGAACTGAAATGCATCAATTATTTTAGAGTTAGTTCACTGCTCATGTGAAATAATACCTTCAGGGCAGACATCTAAAAACACTGACTATGAATTGATCAGCAGAGGCATCAAGAACCAGAGGTAAGAACACATGGTTGGGCACCAGAGAAAGACAGAAGTGGGGTCCTGTTATGCCACTCACTACCAACTTACTCAACAAGGCCCTGGGACTCTTTAGGCTTCAACCTTCACCTCTCTGCACCCCACTTCCAGTCTTGTCTACCACGTGGTGCTAAGGAGCTTACATTCAAAAAGATATATTTTAAAGTAATAGCTATAAATAGAACCTCTGGCAAGTTGACTTGAACAAACAGAAGCTTAACATATTGGATCACTTCTCTCCTAAAATGAATTTGTTGATTGAAATGATTTGTTAAGCTCCTCATGAGCTTCACATTTCTTCCGGAAAAAGAAGACACATTTCGAGACAGGAAAGAGCTGTCAGTTCAGTTCTGAATTTGAGGACATTTTTTTGTTTGTTTCTTTATCTTGAACTGAGAATGTTAATTGATTTTAGAGAGAGGGGATGGGAGACAAACAGAGGGAGAGAGAAACATCAATGTGAAAGAGAAACATGGATCAGTCCCCACCCTGACTGGGAATCAAACCCATAACTTTTGGTGTACTGGACAATGCTCCAACCAACGGAGCAGCCCAGCCAGGGCAGAGACCTTGTATTTTTTGAAGGTATCTTCTAGTAGTTCTTTTTCCTTATTAAAATTCTGGCATGGAGGTGCCCAGGGACCTCCTAATTTGACTAGAGTCATTGTAAGAGGAAGTGCTCTAAGTCCCAAGATATAAGTAAAATGCTATTGTTATAGAAAATGAAGAATAAAAATAAATCTTCGCTCTATTGAGTGGCCATGAGCATTGATAACATGGTTGGGCAGAATAGAAGTAAACAAGGCACAGCCAGTAGGAGCATATTGAAAATGGTCCGTAAGGAGTCTTCAAAGTTAGATCAGATTGTGTGTACTTCAGAGTGTGCCTGTATGATCCACTGGGTATGGGAATATTTCTTTTAAATTTTTAGGTTGTTTAGATAATATATTAATACAATTGAATATCCAGGGTAGGGCAAAAGTAGGTTTATGGAAAATAATACAATAATTAATATATAATAATATNTTAAATTTTTTGGTTGTTTAGATAATATATTAATACAATTGAATATCCAGGGTAGGGCAAAAGTAGGTTTATGGAAAATAATACAATAATACAAGAATAAATTGTGTTTTGTGTACTCACAATTGTGAACCCACTTTTGCTCCACCCTGTATAATGGCATATGAGATACAAATACATACACAAACACACACAATTGTATATATTTTTTACCAATAGCGCTTTTGTGACCAGATTTTTGCAATAGTCTGCTCAACTCTTTCCAGGGTTGGAAAATTCAGCATTAAAGTCGTTACTAATGATTGACTTAGGGAGTCCATAACCTTCTGGCAGAGAAGAAGCCAATGAGCACAGCAATGTCACAGGTCCAAAAAACGGGGAAATTAATGTGCTGTTAATGATGTGCCTGTGCCAACCAAAGGGGTGAAATTAAAGTGAAAAAAATGTCCATCATCTTCTTTCCACTGGACTCAGGTGGTGCCACACATTCCCTTGGAAACAGGAACCCATTTTAAGACACTATATATGCATCATAGGAGTAGGGAGAAAAGGCTGCAGGTTCTTCATTTCCCTACCCAGGTAATTTTTATTAGAATGGGCAGGCACCTCTATATATTTCAACTGAAAAAGTGTAATGTTCCAGAAAATGAGAGTGCAAATGTCTTGAACACATCACGCCTTGCATTTCAAAGGACAGCAGCACACTTGATCTCTTTGTAATAGTGGTTTAGGGATTTCAGGTCGTCATCCAAAAAGTCAGTAAGCTTTGGAAGTGTTTCTCCAAAATAAAATAACTCCTATGAAAGTTATTGAAGTAAGGAGTAAGTATATACATTGTTAAACTTATTTTTAGAGAATAGGCATAGTCTAATTGTAATTTTACTAAATTAAGCCTTTATATATATTGGTTATTATACTTTGGCATTTCTTTGGAATATCTTCTCTAATAACAATAGTGATTAGCTTTTGTTATCCATTTCAACAATATATAAATGTATCTTTAATTTTCAAAATAGTTTTAAACTTTTTATCTTGTATTTGTATAGAAAAGTGACACTAGTCTTCTTTCAACATTCTTTGAAACTAGAAAGAAACCAAGGTACTTGAAATCAAATGAAACAATATACTTTAGACTTCAATTTCCCAGTGAAATAATTTTTTTAAATGCATCTGGCTGGAAAATGTTTGGCTTATTTCAAATTTGTTACCAGTAGGAAATCTAAGATTCAGATGCTGAGAGAGCACCTTAACTGTCTCTTTTTGACCAAAAGGTGAGGCTACTTGTTGGGTCTGACAAATAAAAATGGTAATTAATCTGAGAGAAAGACTTCATAAAAGGTGGAGAGAGCATAAGCGTTTGTTCTCAGATTGTTTGAAATGGAAGAATTTTACATTATCATTTTTAAGATCAATGACTCAGCCACTCCACCTGGACACTTTATTCTATGCTCTTCAATTCATTCTGAACCCAGAGAGACACCCACAAGACCAGTCACAAAGTGCTTTAAAATTGTGTCCTATGAGGAAAATGAAGGAGACGAGCTGTTAGTCTACAGAAACAAAAGATTAAAAAAAAAAAGAGGTTTTCAGTCATCTAAATCAGAAAGCAAATTCAAGGCTTAACTAAACAGGCAAACATTTTTCTTTGTACAATGATGATAACAAGTGATTATACAATCTCACTTCTAGCAAAGGGGAAAATGTTAAACTTTCAGATTACTGCCTTCAGAATAATATTTCTACATAAATAAAAATAGCATTAGAAAAAAACAGTACCTACTACTATTCAATATCCATCAAATAATCCACTTTAACTAGGAAAAGGCAGAAGTGAAACAGGCCATCAAAATCAAGAAGTACCTGGAAGCTAATTAGAATGCATTTCAGCCCAATTTCATGTGTTGCATCAGCCACCTCCAGCCTAAGCCTGAGCAGTTTCTATTTTTAATCCACAAATAGATTGTCATTTCCACTTCCATTTTAAATGATGGAATAGGAAGCTGTGATTTATTTAGTAGGAATAGAAGAATGTCGCAGTCAGGCTGCATCAAAGAAACCGTTCAGATGACCTGGATTCCAGGAAGCAACTGGCTGACTGTCAGGTGGCAATGAACATGGAAATAAAGGTTTGAGTAATTCTCCTTACATAGTGAAACAATTCAAAGATATCAAACGTTTTCTTCTTTCATGATCCTGCTTTTACTTGGAATTTTAGGCTAAAGGATTTAGATGCCAAATACATGAAGTAATTTATTCCATTTTACTANATATCAAACGTTTTCTTCTTTCATGATCCTGCTTTTACTTGGAATTTTAGCTAAAGGATTTAGATGCCAAATACATGAAGTAATTTCTTCCATTTTACTGNTGGAATTTTAGGCTAAAGGATTTAGATGCCAAATACATGAAGTAATTTATTCCATTTTACTATCTGACTAAATAATAATCCCTCATTTACCACATTTTGTAAATACTTGTCCTGAGTGGAAATCAGCAAATTATAATTCAATTTAACAGTATATGTTAACTGATGAATTTGTCCCTAATCATCCAAAATTAAACCATAAATTAGTAAACAAAGACCAAGGTCCATGTGGTAGGTGGGACAGAACATTTTACTGGTAATGTGTGAGGATCTAAAAACCTACAGAGAAGTTCCAAGACCTTTCAAGCCAAAGAGACAAAGTGGTTTAATAATTTTTAAGCTACATTCAACACAAATATTCATGTTTGCATTCCCATATTTCAATTAAAGCCAAGTGACTGAATGGTTAAATCAGTTTGCATTAGATTCTGCTAGAAAAGATACCATGAAAGTATTTAAAAGAAAAGCTGATTCAATCCCTTCTGGTGGCCCAACTGCACAAAGGTGTACTTTGTGGCAGCAAATTGATGCAATTCACTGAGCAGGTATGAGGAGAATTTAGAAAAGTGAAGCTTTTCTTTTTTAAAAAAATCATTTACCAGCATAAAATTGGAAACTATTATTTTTTGAGGAATGAAATGATATGTTCATAAAGTGGAGAATGTTGACCAAATTTTCAGGAGGGGAGAATTTAAACATCGAAGAAGACAGAGGAAGAAATGATAAGAATTAAGTTTAGAGGCTTGAGGACACTGGAGGAAAAAGGGTTGTGTAGGAAGGGCTGATCTAAATATTTACAACCAATTAGATTAGTGGTTGATAGGGAAACATAAGTGACACTGAGTAACCAATGATGCCTACGGTGCTTGAGTTTGGAAAGGTCTGTGGTCTTCTCAGCAAAGATGAAATCACTGAGCAAGTGTGAACTCTTAAGGAATATAAATTGAGCAATCGCTTTTGCTACATTTAACTTTCATTGACAGAGCATTAACTCCTTAATAACAATTTTACATGAGGCTGATTTTTGAACTCTATCCATTTTTACACTGGGTTGCTTTCTGGCTTCTCATATTTTAAATTACGATATTTTAAATAAAGAAAAAAAATCTGTTTAATTTCTATCATGGGAATTTTAAAAAACAGTTGGAAGTTTCTCTGGAGTGGCCTTAAATTCATTCATTTGGCCTTCTATAAATAACAAAGTAAGCTCAATCAGGCAGAGAGTAGATGGGAACACTGTCTCAACCAGTTCTCTAGAAAGTGATATACCTTCTGGGGTAGGTTGGTTAGCTCTTAGCAGTAACCAGATGGAGAATGATACTGTCTCCCCAGGAGACTAATATGGAAACAACTTCTGGGATTTGTCTCTTGAGGTTTTCTTGCTGAAATATGTTCTAACACAACCTTAAGGGCTGAAATTATCCTGCATAAAACTGTCAATAGGTACTACTGGCTTTAATGTAATTGGTGAACCTACCTTAATTACTGTATTTAGCTTTATAGTCTTTTCAATATGCTACACAAACAGACTACCTAGAATGTCAAGCCATTACATTGAACTACAGTTGAAATTCAGCTTGCTCTCCTTTAGCACCAGGAGGCTTCCAGGTTTGACCTTTGCAATGTGTGAAGGGCCGCCACTGATGCCAGGGTATGAAAGTTAAAAACAAACAGCAAGCAGCTTAGTGGTGAGATTTCAGAAATGGGACACATTTCCCCTCCCTTTTTTATTTCCTTAAAGAGATAATGCACCAGATTTTAAGAATACAAGTGACTACTGAGCAGGTATAAGGTCATAAGTTATTCTCTAGTTTTTTCCTCCTAAATTATACTATTAAAGATAATCTTTTAATTTTAAAATGAATCATGTATTTCATTAGGATGATCTAATATTCCTTGAATTAAGAAAATAAACCTCCTTCAGTAGCTACATTTTCAATAGGAAAAAACAAAACTTTTCTGGTGGTTTTATAGAAAATTCTGTTGAAGTTATTCAAAGAACATTATTTATTGAAAAGGTAGTTTGTGGATAAATAGTGTCATATGCGTAGAGTGTCACATTTAATTATCTTCTACAAAATAACTTTCCTTGATAGATTTTGGCAAAGGAAACAGTACAAATGATGCTGAAGACTCTGGAGATACCATAAGAAATTATCAGAGTTCCAAGAAACACGTCGAAGAGAAAAAAAGCAGATCTTCCTCTTTCATCTCCTCCGCTGACGATGAACAAAAGCCTCTCTTCTCAGGGATAGTAGACTCCCCTCCAAGGGCAGGGAAAGCAGCGGGACTCAGTTTTAAAGAAATAGTGCCCACGTCAGGAAGAGCTCACATAGATAAAAGGAGTCACTCCTGCAAAGGTAACCGAGTGTCTCAGGACTCCGCTTGTCTTTCTTTGGTGCTCATCATAAAGTGGTGACTTTTCACAAATAAAGAGCTGTACTGACATATGTTAATCTAATCTTTTGTGATTTCATGAAATATTGGCAAAGAGTTCAAATCTCACATCTACAAAGTGTTCGGACCATTCTGGAGTAGTGAGAATTATTCCCAAGTAATGATAGCATGAAAGGTGTTTTTTTATGGCCAATCAGACTTAACGTAATGACATGTAGAACCCTATTGTTTTATAGCATGAAAGGCCAATGCAATAACACTACGGCAGATGCCAAAAAAAAATCTGTTTACTGGGAATTATGAGAATAGGAGGGAAAATGCCCCTAGATAAAGTATGCTCTTGGTCCAACTCGTATGAATACATTTAACAGCTCCACCAAAAGGAATACCCAAATATATGGGGTTTGCTGTAGAAAATATGCATGAAATGGGTAATAATGAATGCAAAGTTGATAATAAAGCATGGGAAATTTTGGAAAACTTGAGAACTACCACTTGGAAGAACAATTAGTTTAGTATAACAGGATCTAGATCTACAGATCTTGGTAGATTTATCTATTAAGTGGGTGCAAGAATAGGTGTGGTTCAGACTACTTGGGTTCCAATCACAACTCTGTCACTTGTTCCCTTTATGACTTAGGATAAGTGACTGACAGACCCCACGAAGACTCAGTTTTCACATTTTTAAAATAGAAATAATATTTTCTAACTAACAATTGTTAACAAGATAACACACATAAATTATCTTTTCTGAAATAAAATCTCCAATTAAGTTTAGCATTTTCTCACAGGTTTTATTTTTCTAACCCTTTAAGCGTTCAGTATGTCCCTGGATATATAAAAATGTAGAAGGCATAGCAAAAAGTCTAAAGAATATAACAGAAATGAGGTGAAAATGGGATGTTCTCAGACTAGCATGATAACAAAATTGTGGGACAGAGTAAGCAAATATTATCTATAATTGTCACCATTATTTAAAGTGACTATATTTGACAACAAAAGTTTTATTGAATCTAGGATGTCTAGGCTTTACATTTTTCCACAGTTACTTTCCCTATCTTATCAAATCAGCCTCTGCCATGACCCCACATTGAAGTAAGCTAAGAATATAAGCAAATGTTCTCTGGACAATCTAAAATCTTGATGAAGTGAATGAAAATAGTACCTCATTTATCACAATGGAAGAATGGAATATTAGATGTGATTACCAAATGTCCCATTTTAGTTATTGATGAAAACGAATTCTGGGAAGTGCTAAAAAGAGAAAACGGTTGTATCATGGAAGTCAAAAGTCCTTTGAGCCTCAAGTGACAAGTTATTGAAGATATAATTTGGGGATTTTATTCAATTTTATAATGCCTGCCGCTGACAGTGAATCCTCATGCCCTTCACCTTGTGTTTTTCTCTGCCACTTCCTCCAGTTATCTTGTTATTCTACATGCACGATAAAATAGTATTCTAACAAATAAGTTTAATGTCCATAAATTTTTAAGTTTTAAAAATGTATAATGCAATTCCTATTCAAATAATAAATAATTACTTTGAAAATGCATAGCTAAATATGCATGTCAATTGAATAAACGTAATTGATGCCGTAACATCCATGTGACAGTTAACCTGGATAATTAATATGGTTAACAAATGAAGAATTATAAAACCACTGCCGATTTCATTCTCTAATGATTATTTAGGGTGAAGTAATATGGGATGTTTGAGAATTTGAATAACATGTATTATGCAGCTGTACTGCTGCAGTTTGAGTTACTAAATCCCTACAATTTCTAGTTTGATCATTAATAGGAAATTTCCCTTACTCACATTCCTGGCATTTGTCATGCTGAATCCAACAGGAGAGCATCTTTAGGCAAAACTAAAAAGAAAAAAAGAATGAAACAGACTGTTATCCTATTTAGATTGAGGTCAAAAGTTGACTCTAGGAAAATTGTGTACCCAGAGAAAAAAAGTTTACTTTCTGTTCATCCATTTCCAGGAATGTGTTTTGCAACTATAGCAACATTTTCCAAGGCAACCGAGTGCAGATTCCTTCTGAGCTATATTTAGAAAGTGTCTACAAGGATGTTCATTTTGATCAAGACCCTAACCAGGATTTCCCCTTTGAACTCCTTTTTAATTTTTTTATATTGCTGTTAAAACAAGCAAATCACACATATCCAGATTTTAATAAAAGATTAAATTATAATCAAGGAGGCCTCTATCTAAGTTTACACTTTATGCATTTCTTCTAAAGGAACATGATACTTTTTTTTTCCTTGAACACTGAAGAAAAAATATAATCCTACATAATTTATTGCATGTGCCTCACCATTGTTCTTTAAATATCAATTTATTATATACGATTTGAGAATGAGAGAGCTGTTAAGCATAGGCAGACATTCTGTACACTTTCTCGGCACAAAACTTATGAGCGTAATATGTAACTTCATCTTATCAATTATTGTTTTATTTTAAATCCTTACATTAACCAGCTAGCAGGCAGCCAGACAAGGACAAATACTGACATCACCAAGCCATTAATATGTGTATTATGAATGTTTGGCATTGCTGCTCCAAAATTGAACACTTAGTGTACTGGGACATAATATCTTTGTTTTTCATTTAAAATAGTCACATGCCTTGAAGAATGTTATACTTTTCACTGAAAATCTGCTGATATACTAGTTAAAACTCCAGGAATTTCGTATTTTTGTTTATTTTCATTTTGTTGAGTGTGGTAAATTATTTACTGTCACTTTTTTAAAAAAACAAAACAAAACACCAGGATCCCATAGGCTAAGGGAGCCTTCATCACGAGGAACCATTCTGGAATTCACAGCAGGCTCTCTGAGGCCGGCCACCCTACCGTTTCACAGCACAGGCAACCCTGACCTGAGATTTTCCCAGTGCTGCCCTTGAGTGCTTCAGTTCCTTTGTTATAGCTTCACTTAATTGAAGCAGAAATTGTAGGCAGCTCATTAGAGAAATTTCTGTGTATTCTGTGATAAAAGGATAGGGATAGAAAAAGCATGAAAAACAATATAGAAATTTTGCCTGCTATTTGAAGAGAAAGGGTTTACTTCTGAGCTATCCGACTATACTTTGGAGAAACTGTAGGAAAGGAAGGGGTTTGGAGAAGTCCTACACATCCTGGTCCTTATTTCTAGAATTATAGCTAATCCTCACCAAGTCAGTTACTTTCTGTCTATTTTTTCAACAGCCGAAGATATAAATTCCTTACCTTGACATACCTTTTGCAGAGTTTAATCATAGTTACCTGCCCCTCCCCGCCAAAAAATGCCCAGCAAACCAAAATCACTACTTCTAACTTAAATGTGAAAATGAAAACCAGTTTTACATCATCTTTTCCTCCTACCATTTCTCCCAGTGAGGAAGAAATGTCACTCTTCTTTAATTGTAAAATAAACTCCCAGTTCCACTAGTATTTTTTCATGGGTTTTATTTTCCAACTTTTTAATCATTTTAAGCCTTCTCTAGATATGTAAAATGTAGAGGGTAAGAAAGCATAGCAAAAGCCATCAAAAGTATATGACAAAAATGAGAAAAAAGAAAGATATTGTATTTGCTCTTAGATATCGCTAACTTGCAAATACAGATTGTAGGAGAAACAATAAATTAAGAGAAGCTCAGAAAACAAATCTCTGTATGAAAAATGACCAAAACCACGCTAGACTGAATTTCTCAGGTTTAGGGCCTCTGTCTTCTTTGTCTTTAATTCCTCTGTCTTCAGGACACTGTCTGGCACATAAGAGACACACAGAGCTTTTGAAAAGAGGTTGTGAACAGATAAGCAATATGCTTTAAAGTATAGTAACACAAAAAAATATTCTAACTAAAAGAGCCACAGAAAAACTATTGGACGTTACTGTGACTATACTAAGGGACAGTGTAGAAGGAGCTTGAAGGAGACAGAAAAACTTAAAAAAGAGTCTCATGGGACTAGAGGACCTTTAAGACTCTTTTCATCTTTTATGACTTACGGTTTCTTGGCTCGACTTTGAGTTGGGTTGGCCAAGGGAATTCCCCTGAATATCAGCACTTCCCCGTGGCTCTCGCCTTGGGCCCACTCTAAATCACGAAGGATGCAAATTATCCTGTGGGAAAGAACCCTAAAATCTTAAACCCAAGTGTGAAGTAGTCCAAACAAATGGTGCTGTTTCTTCCCAAATACAAAATCACAAAATCACTGCTCTCTTGAGTTAACCATCCAAGTTTTCTTTCTGTTTTACTACAAACAGAAAGAAGACAAATTTGTATTTAAGAACTGGCTGTATGTTTTTATTCATATGGAAATGGACAAGAGAGAGGTGGCAAGCAGGGTCGGTGGGTGGGACACAGGTAGTTACCGCTTGCTGTTCCTGGACAGGTCCCTTAGTCACTCTTGGTCTCTGTCTTTGGGTTATACTTTAAGACCCTTTCTTGCATGTATTTGGATGTCTCTGTGTTACTGACCCCAGTGAGCACCCAAAGAAGTTGACATCCGTCTTGCTATTTCCCACAGAGATCGCTGACACAAGAAGCTGGGAACAAGACAACGCCCAGACCCAGGCCTATGAGTCGAGTCCCTCAGCACCTCAGCAAGCTGCCTGGGGGATCTCGGAAACTGAAAGTGACCTCACCTATGGGGAAGTGGAGCAAAGACTGGATTTGCTTCAAGAACAACTTAACAGGTATAGCAATGGCAGGCCAAAGAAGACATAAACCATGCCCTTAGTTGGGTCTAGCTTCATTCCTTGTATACAGCAAATTCCTCATGCCATAATCTCATATTTTCCTTCCACATTTACTGATTTGAAATAAGACTAGGAATTGACAGAATTATTAATCTGTGCTTCGAAGAGCATTTATTTAGAACACTTGATATATTTGGTAGCGTAAATCCTACTTTTTCTTTACTTGCCATAAAACTAGTATATCACCCACAGTAGCGGCCTAAGAAAACTTTTCATATTTAGCTTGTTGACAAACACCCTTCCTCTTTTCATGCTTTTTGGTTGTGCCTGGTAACTTAGTTATGTGTTCTAACATTTCTTAAAAACTGTCAACAAAATTACTTAAACATTTAGTTATTCAAGTCAACTTGTTAAAGATGTGATTGAATTGAAAATCTCAGAGAGTTGAAGCCCATATCCTCTCCATTTTCCTTCTATCTTTGAGCTATACTTTTTTAAAATGAGGATTTAATTTTGGTTTTAGGGAGGATGGGACTCTTTAACCCAAATCTAGGTGGATTTGTTAAAATTAAACTGGTCGTTAAGACTCAGGAAAAAAAATGCATGAAGGAGTATAATATATCTGCTTAGTTGTAGCTCATGTGGGACTTTACACTGATTCAAAGGCAGCCCCAGGTACACCACCAGGCAAGGGATTCCAGTGGTGACAGATGAATCAAACTGTAATGTGCAAATCACAGGGTTTACTAAATCAGTTTTAAACAGACCATGAGAGATGAGAAGAGCCAGATGCAGTAACTAACATGTTTCTATGAAGTGCGAGCTTGGTAAAAGGACCACAGTACCTGAATCCTGATTTACCCCAAGTTCACATCTGTCACATCAACTTTCTCTGCTGATGGTGTGGTTACGAGGCTCAGAGTTGAGGTTTGCACAAAGGGTCCACAGACAAAAAAAATCCCCTGTGCCAATGGCACACACTTGCTCTGTCCCAGAGATAGATGTAAGGCCAAATGCCTTACTTGTCATTAGCCTGCTGAACAACAGTGTGTTTATTGGCCTTTTGTAGGTAAAGCATATGTGAAGCCAGACTGAACCTATACCGTGTACCCCCAATGGGTGATCAAATTTGGGGGCAAAAGTGTCTGCCCAGAGGTGACATGAAAATAATTTTTTCTTTCCATCTTTTTCTACATATCAGAACTACACTCTGGTTTGTTACATCATATTTCTGTTCTATTTTTGGCATGTCTTACAGGTTACTTGCTTACTGTCTGTATTTAATACATCTATGAATCCCACCCATGTCTAATGTGCTACTTGCTTATGCATTATCTATACTTAACACATCCTCTAAGTTTTGCCTATACGTATGTTACTTGTTAACTTACTATCAAATTAATACTTCTTATGTATTTTATACATCCTGTTTGTTGTTTCTATTGCTTTTTTAAAAAAAAATTTATGCTAGAATTGAAGTTTCAAACAATACATTAAACACATTAAATTGTGTGTGCACACACACATACATTACCATACACCTTAATTGAATTTAAAATCCCTGGTGCTGAGGTCCATGTCTCATTCCCAAGTGTCAAATTCAAGTTTTGTAAATGGAAACACACCTGAGAAAATTAAAACAGGTTATCATTTACTTAGAGTCAATAATTCCTAATTAAAGTATAAGAACTTATCATGATAATTACTATTGGTGAGAGAAGCATATTTAGTTACTTAATACATATGCTTTTTCTCTCTCCCTACTACATATACTAACCACTTTGCTATTTTATCTATAATATACATAAAACTACATATAATGTATAATATATAAAAATTGATGTGTGGCCTGAACTTGAACTTTGATTCTTGTGACAGAGAGAAAATAACTGCCCATTTCTTTACTGCCAAGACATAAGTGTATATTCAGTTTGTTTAGTAAATAAAAAAGTGAGAATGAATGGAGGAGTGACAGGGAAAGCAGTGAGTTCTTCAGCACAATTCTTGCAAAGTACATGTAATTGGTTAGCCTATGATAAAGTCCTAACTCTGCTACTTAACGGCTTACAGGATGGGTCAAGTCATTTAAATTTCTCCAGCTTCAGTTTCTTTGAGTCCTATCTATCTGTAATGCCATTTTGAAGACTATGACAATAGATGTGGAAACTCTACAAAATAAAAGGTGTTGTACTTGCAGCTAGGTGAAATTTTATTAACAATGACCTTCATTTCTATCATTGCTGTTTCTCTTCATAGTTTATTCTCTTACTTTACATGTATTCTGTATTTCCTGATTTGGACCTTTCTTCAGAACTAAAGTTGATGTTTTAGGTTACCTGTGTTGCCTTGTCATGTGTACCAACCATTGCAGTTAGCATTAAGTCACAGATTACTGAAAACATTTGTTTTCAATATATCCCAGGGCTGAAAGTATAAAGCTTTAATGGCACATACATCTAGGACCCATTTAGTTTGCAACTGCTCATTAGTAATATAATTGTTATTTTATTACGCTAGTTTTATTATTATTGTTGTTGTTGTTGTTGTTAGAAACTTTTCCACAGCTAAAGTACAATTAAATCTGTTTTGACATGGCCCCAGCATCTGTATATTCTTAGCCATACTTCTTTTCCTTTGACTAACTTCTTTCTATTTCTGATATTTTCACAAATACTTTATGGTCTAACTCAACNCATCTGTATATTCTTAGCCATACTTCTTTTCCTTTGACTAACTTCTTTCTGTTTCTGATATTTTCACAAATACTTTATGGTCTAACTCAACAGCCTCTTTTGAAGTCTAAAATATAAAATCCAAAATATTGCATTTACTGCCATCTCCAGCAACCTCTTTCCTCCACTTTACCCTGGAAGGCCAAAACAGCTTTGAAGAGGGCCACACAATTTGGTCTTTAACTAGGGGGTGAGAATCTTGAGACACTTTTTAGAGTTGGGTCTACCCCCTTAGCTTCAGCATTCTGTTCAAATGTAGAGCCATGGATTTCTACCCCCATTTGTCTCATCCAAACACACATGTTAAGCACACAACGCAATAAAGGCAAATTTAAATGTTTTGTCTTGAATTGTCCTTGCTGGTGCTGCTTTCCTGCTTTAATAGCCAATTAAACTATATTTGCGGTAAAGGTTCACATAAGAAATGTGCCTATATGTTTATATATTATGCCTACAGATATACATGTTTAGGGAAATCATTAACACTTGATCCTAAAGCAGTGCTTCTCAAACTGTAATGTGCATTTAAAGCACCTGGGGATCTCGTTAAAATGCAGATTCTAAGTTAGTAGGTCTGGAGTCAACAGAGATTGCACATTCTAACAAGCTCCAGGCTTTGACCACACTTCGAGGAGGGAGGCCCTAGAGAATGTAGAAGCTCTTAGTAATGATGCCATCCCTTGCAGAACACCCAGAGCAATTTATCTGTTGCCTTCCCTATGGCACCGAGCACTCACTTCACCTAGTGTGATGGGTTTTTAGCGTTCCAGGTGGTCCGCTCCAGTCAGCACCCGAGCTCAGGGTCTGTATTTATCAGGCTCTCCCTTCACCTTCCTACCTAACACAGTGCCTGGTACATTGTGAGTTTTTGAGTGAATGAAAACATTCATTGTTACACATCAATAAAGCGATGCTGAGGTAGGGAAAGAAGAATAATTTTTCCTCTACCTTTCTGAGTACTTGGTTGAGACTCCTGTAATAAAAGACATGTTAGCAAAGGGGAAACAAATATATGCTTATTAACATGTATACTCATGTATACATGGGAAATACCCAGGGAAAAATGAGTAACTTCCAAGGTGGCTTAGAATTCAAGAGTAAATACCATCTTAATGGAGCAAGGGGCAGGGGGATGTAGGCCTCTTAGAGGAGAGTGAATGATTTTTAGGAAAGATGAATGGACCCACAGAAAAAGAGATGGGAGGCATGATAGTTTGTGACAAAGTTTGCCTGGGTGTGGAACTTCGGGTCTCCTCTCCTGTGAACAAGAGTCAGTCTTTCCTGGGAGACAAAAATCCTGGGGAGGGGACTTACGACAATTCAGTTCCTTTGGGTGAACCTGCCTTTAGGCAGATAATGGGAGTTCAGAGAAAGCCTCTCCCTGCTTTTGCTGTTTTTCAAAGTGCCTGAGGCTCAGAATAACCAATATGCTAACGTGGCATATCTGGGCGTGGCATTTCTGCTACCCTTCACTGACCAAAAAAGTTTTTAAACTGGGTTGTTCTTTTCTGTTTTAAAGGTCAAGCTGGATATTTTAAAAATTCTCTGTTATTCCTCCTGACTAAAGCAGATTATTTTGTCTCAATAGAAGAGTCCATTCAATGAAGCCAGTAGACCCTAGACATAAAAAGTGAAAACATAATCTATGCATAGTAAAGAAATTCTTCACTAAAGCTCCCCTTTGTTGAATAGCTTAGTCTGTTCTGGCTGCTATAACAAAAATACCATAGAATGGTGGCTTATAAACAACAAATATTTATTTCTCACAGTTCTGGAGGTTGGGAAGTCCAAGAACAAGGTGCCAGAAGATTCAGTATCTGGTGAGAGCTAGTTTCCTGGCTCATAGACGATTGTTACTCACTGTGTCCTCACAGGTAGAAAAAGGAAGGAAGCTCTCTGGAGTCTCTTTTATAAGGGCACTAATTCCATTCATGAGGGCTTTACTCTCATGACCTAATCACCTCCCAAAGGTACCACATGTTAATACCGTCACATTAGGGGTTAGAGCTTCAACACATGAAGGGGGTGGGGGCATCGACATTTAATCATTGCATTGAAGAGCCCAAAAGATCAAATCACCAGTTTATAAAACAAAACTAAGTACTCAAAATCACTGCAGGAAGGGAGACTACCATTTTGACAGAGCCTAAGTGATATCTCAGAAGGGGATAAGAAATAGGGTATTTATAGGATTTTAGACTCTGGGCCTTTCAAGGTAAGGAACTGATTGGAAATGGGCAAAATTCATGACATAATAGCTCAGAATTGTTGGACAAAATGAGGTAAGGCTCTTGAAGCAAGTCTGGATAAATAAAATTTACTTGGTAAGCACACTTGAAGGAGAAGTGAGTCCCACTCATGGCAGCATGTTATAATCAGTAAAATTCCACCTTCCAATAGATTTTTTCCTCAGAGACTCTGTTCAAATAGAATCTATGGTATATAGATCTCATTTCTCAGAGACCACTGCTGTTTGACAAAGGTTTCATAGGACTCAGAACCATTACCATAATTTTTGACTGTCTGTTGGGCCTTGAATTCTCTTTATATTGATGAAGTTTTTATTGCATGCTCCATCCCCAAATCCTTTTAAATTCAATGTAATGAACGTGTAAGCCATTCGCTAAATATTAAATGCTATTAGTGATAAGATAAATTTGTACAGAGATATTTACAATGAAGACTGAATGTGGAATTTTCTTTGGGGACTCAGAAGAGAGAGAAATTAATTCTGAATGGGTCAAATGAGGGCAGATTTTTGGTTGCAGATTCAATTTAAGCTGGACCTTGAAGACTGAAAAAATGATATACAACAATAAAATAGTCTGTTCAATTTAGTTGACACCATAAAAAATTAGATCAATCCTATGGGTAACAAGTAGATAAACTAGTTAGTGACTCAATTTTTCTTTTTTCAATGTGTGCTTTTGTCATTTACAAGTCAGAATCATGTATAATTTACAGCCATTGGTTTAGAAGACAATAGGTTCTATAAATTTATAGAACACCTATAAGAATAGTATTTCTCAGAAGGAAGATTTGTAGTATCAATTAATATTAAGAGTTAAAAAGAAAAAAAATGATATTTTCTCATGTTTTTGAGGTTTATTCTGTTCTCTTTCCAAGGGCTAAATTCCATAAATATAGCATGTATATAATTGAGCAAAATTAGGTTTATGATTTTAACATTTTTGTTAAGATTTAGCTTTTCTTTGCATTTTTCACTCAGAGACAAAACAGAAGCACAAGTCAATAAAGAGTTAAAAGAAGAGTTGCCTAAAGAGGCATATGGTCCAAATTTTCTGTTCTTATGCCCACAAAATTCTCCTTTTTTAATGCCGTTAACACATGCAAAAGAGAAGAATCAGCCCTATTGTATTTTTCTATTTTCACTTGAATTTTAATTTAAAATGAGAGTAAAATTAACAAGCCAGTTGGCTACTTGTGAGCTTTGAATAAAAAATGATCAGACTGGTATTTTGCAAGTCAGATAGATCATAGAAGCAAGTGAACTTTTACTTTGTTTTGTTTCTTAAATACCAAAGGCTCTGAACTGTGGATGGGAAAGGAATTTAACAGTACTTAACATTACAGAAAGACTGCAATAAATAATGTACAATTCTTGATGTGAATAGGAGATAGACAAAGTAAAATAAAGGTAATATAAATTTGAAACAAATAAGAAATTATCCAGTTGTAACCATGAAAGAGATATGCTAACCATGCCCTGGCTGATGTGGCTCATTTGGTTGGGCATTGTCCTGTGTACCCAAAGATCACTGGCTTGATTCCAGGGCAGGGCACATGCCCAGGGTGCTGGCTCGATCCCCAGTAGGGGGGCATGCCAGCGGCAGCCGATCAACGTTCCCGCTCACTCGATGTTTCTCTCTCTCCTTCTCCCGTCCTCTCTCTCTTAAAAATGAATAAAAAATATTTTAAAAAATGAAATAAAGAAAGGAAATGTGCTAACCAAATCTCTTTTTCATAGAGTAAATAAATGTCCACAAGAAACTGGGCAAAGCCTGATTAAAAAGAAAATACAACTATTGATTAAAAATAGATTCTCAGTGCATTTTACATTTTGAAACCAATAAAGCTTAATTGTAAAAATGTAATGCAATGTACATTGTAAAAATACAGTCTGTTCCATTCAGCTGTTTTTCTGTTAAGATCTTATTAAATAAGCAGGAAAGCAACGGTCTTTCTCAGAACCATTAGTGAGACATAGAAAGTTAGCTTCAGCCAGGAGAGAATCTCCGTGCTCCCTCTCCTGTTCTTTTTGTTTAAAGCAGGGCCATAATTCTGTTTGTTTGTGGTTGTCTTGTTTGGGTGGCAAAATTATGCTCAGAAACTGATTTGTCTTTGCCAACAATTTATTTAACAGAGGTTTGCTTTGGGAATGATAATTTCACAAGACAATAGCATACAGGATACTATCTCTTAATAAGCCAAATAAAGAAATAACATACTCCAAAGCAATGATAGATTAATTACACTATTGTTCCAGGTAAAGGGAGGAGGAATGAAAGGAATAAAGTCCAAATTTAGCTGAGGTACCTTTTATATGAGTAGGCACTTGGGAGAGGCACTTGGCCAACCAGGAGCTGACATCCATCGGCCCGCACACTGCTAGGGAGCAGAGGCGCCAGCGCTGGTGGACATTCGGGGCTGCAAGAGTGATCACTGCAGGGCCGCTGCACGGCTCTGCGCCACGGCCCTCGGGGACGCCTCACTGAGGCAGGAACAGACGTTTCTGCTCTTCCTGGGCCTGCTGCACTCTTTAGCTCCTTGGTCACAGCAGGAGCAAGTGTCTCAAGATCTCCAAGGGCTATTTAGGTCAGCAAGGTGTCAACCTGTCCAGACCTAAGCTCTAGGATTGTCCTCACAAACTCTTAGTACAGCGGTCCCTCTGTTTCCGAATGTTACCCGTTTGGGAGACCCTTCGAGCTCTGAAACATTCAAAAACCAAGGGATCCACGGCCCACAGCTGGACCTCAGGGTCTTGCCCTCAGCAGAAGCCACGTGGAGTGTTCGACTTCCGAGGCGTGTTCGAAAACCGAAGCATATGCCTCCAGGTTTACAGTGTTCGTAAACCGAAATGTTCCTCAATGGAGACGCTCGAAAACCGAGGTACCACTATATTTGTAGTTTAAACGTCCCCTTGCCATCATTGCTTCTCCACATGTTCTTAATCGATCACAACAGAGGAGGGGATCACTTCTGACACAACATACTTCGTTCTCATAGCAAAACAACTTCAGTTCTACAACTTTTTTTGTTTTCGTCATAAACAAGTGGATTAAAACAACTTCACTTAAGTCATTAGCAAGTGGATTTAAAATCATATTAAACCAATACACAATAGTGGTGTTGAAATTTTCTCAGATTCTTTAGAATGATGAACCATTTCAGGACGGTCTTCCCCCATTTCTGTCTGTCCTGCAGACTTGAATCCCAAATGACTACTGACATCCAGACCATCTTACAGTTGCTGCAGAAGCAAACCACTGTGGTCCCCCCAGCCTACAGTATGGTGACTGCCGGAGCGGAGTATCACAGCCCCACCCTCCGCCTGATGAGGACCAGTTACCCGGGAGCGTCCATCAAGACGGACAGAAGTTTCAGTCCTTCCTCACAAGTGAGTGTAAATAGTGCACAGCCAAGAGGGTCTCTCAAAGGGTGTTCTAGGGACCACCTGAATCAGGATCACGTGGGGTGCTGTGGAAAAGGCACATTCTCATTCTACTTAATTAGAATTTCTCATTCTTATGCTCATTTAAAGTTTGAGAACAAAGGGCCTAGATGAATGATCTTAAAACAATTTTTTTTTTTAAAGAAAAAGCTTTCTTCAAGCATCAGTCTACTTCAGTTTGCATATGGCAGAGCTTTGAAAGCTAAGGAGAAGCCCTGGGTCCAAAAACCTCTTCAGAGACAAGACTGTACTTCGCTCTCTTGACCAGCTGCACCCTTGGGCAGGGTCTCAGGAAGGAAGCAGAGGAGAACCAGCTGGCCACAGAAGACCTGAGGTTCAAGGGCAGTCAGATTAGTAACCTTAAATACCGGTGCCCTACCTCTAAACTTTTTTTTTTTTTTTAACCTGGAGGACTATAAGAGGAGGAATTATAAAGTGTCCTTCATCTTGCCTCTGAAGCCCTCCAAATGAACCCTTTTGAATTACATTAATTTCAAAAATCTAATTCCCTCGGAGTTCTATTTTGGGAATCATTCTTAATTACTTAAACACTATGGCCAAATTGCACCTAAGAACCATGATTTAAATAAGGATTGACAGAACAGTCATGTAAAACTTTCTTTAAAGTTTGGGAATTTAGTGCAAAATATTGTGGGAAATGAAATTTCTATTAAGAAATGTCCGACCCTAAAGAGAATTTTTAGAAGAGTTTATTTGAGCCAAACTGATGACATTGCTGAAGAGCAAGATCTCAGATGCTCCAGAGAATAACAGTTTTGCAGCTTCATTTTTGCATTTACGTGAAAGTAGGAGAAAACAAGGAAAGCATTGGATTACAGGATAGTTAACAAGATTATGTGCTCTCTTGAGGGTAGGGTGGTCATGTTTTATTTCAAAGGTGTGATAACCTAGATGCACACAACAAATGAACAGGGCTTACTTAAAGCAAAGACAAACCTTTTACTAAAGAATTTATATGCTTGGGGCACAGCTTACCCACCATGACCTGTCCAATTTATAGCAGGGTGAATTTATGACCAGATCACTCTGTGAGGTTACTTTCCACAGAACCATCCGCCCCACTTTTTCCCAACAGAAACAACATTAATAACAGTGAAAATGTGCAGAAGGAAAATAATGCAGTCTTTCTAAAATATGGAAGTAGATATTATTTCTAGTTTTGAATCACTAGGAAACGTGCAAAACCATGTGCTTTGTTGTTTGTTTTCAGTGGATTTAGGTAATATTTTCTGAGTAGGGATGGGAGATTTTCCTTCCTTTCTATTTTCTCTCCTCACAAATGACCCACGTTTCCTATCCCAGTTTTATCTTAAACTTTGAGTTAAAACTCATCTAAAAAACTCAGTACAAAATAATGTAAAAAAAAAACAAAACAAAACAAACCCACAAACTTTGTTCTGACTTCAGAGTAAAACTAAAGTTCTTGGAGTCAGTGTTCAGGATTATCCAACAACCACCTGCAATGTCTTGACCCATCTTTGGGAGGGAAAGTTTGGTTAATACCACTAATCAAATATAGATTTATGGGGGAAGAAAACATATGTAGATTTCAGGAGTGTAATTTTAGAAATCTGCCCAAATAAATTGTAAAAGCATCTTTTCTTTTCTTCCTATCAGTGTCCTGAATTTCTAGACCTTGAAAAATCTAAACTTAAATCCAAAGAATCGCTCTCAAGCGGCGTGCATCTGAACACAGCTTCGGAAGACAACTTGACTTCACGTTTAAAACAAGACAGTGAGCTCTCTTTAGAGCTTCGCTCGCGGCAAAGAAAAACTTACCTTCCTCCAATTAGGCATCCTTCTTTGACAGATTCATCCCCAAGCACTGTAGGAATCTTGGGTCTTCATAGGCATGTTTCTGATCCTGGTCTTCCGGGGAAATAATCATTTTGTACTATTTATTCCACATACAATGTAAGTGCTTTTAATGGCTGTTTTCCTTTTTGTATTTAAATCCTCTCTACTTGACTCAGGGGCTCAAAGGTACCATTATATGCAAAAGTACTGTATATTTTCCTAAACTGAAGCTTGTAAGGTAAAACTGAGCAGTTAGGATGTAAATATACATATGAACTCTTTTGTTCCAAATGTTAAAACTGCCAGCATCTCAAGGCACCTTATTTTTTATTTTTATTTTTTAAATCATGTGCATGTTAGGAAACTCCAGTTTCTCTTGCATGGAGACTCCTATTTACTGCTTTCACTAAATCAGCACCTTGCTATGAAAATGCCTTCAATTAGAAACCAAGGGATAAAATTGTTCGTGGATGCAACTCAGATGATCCTCAACCCAAGGAGTGCAAGGAGGAAAAAGGGGACTTAGTCAGTTTTGAGAACTGACACGCTGCTGTATCAGGATGTTCATAGTTAATTATGTTCATTCCACCACACTGGGGGAAAAATGCAGTTTTAGAGCTGTAAATCTCTGACAAGACACGTAGCCATCTCCAAATATACGAATATAGGCAAGCATTACTGAGGACAAAAAGGCCTGTCTGTTTAAAATCCTGCCACTAACTGCATTTACAGACTACCTAAAACGCTTCCCATGGGCACATTTCCTTGAATGATTAGAAACAAGTTTCTCTCATTTTTCTTTCTTTAGGGCATGGGGAGGGAGAACTGCTAAAGACTGACCCACAAAGACTGATATCCACAGCTTTCTTCTGATTTATATTCCAGGGCAATCTTGAATTTGATCTAAAGAGTGATCGCACATAGTTTTCTTTTAAAAAAATGTGCAACTTGAATGGACTTGCATGGCGAAACTAGCTTTCACTGAGTATAGGTTGTCCTGCGGCTTCCTAATCCCAGCTGCGGAGAAACCGTGTGCATTTACTTGCCTGTAAAGGAATGTACACGTCAACAGTAAAATTGTAGTTTTACTGGGCTATTCACACACACTTGCTAATCAAAGATTAAATGAAAATCTGTTATCTTTGGATTGGGCTGAATATATATGGACGCTAGAAGATCAGAACACACAAAGGAATATATTTTAATATTTTCAACTGTTAGATTTTCTTTTGGGGAGGGAGATCTAGACCACTTATAAAATCAAGGTACAGAAAAAAATTGTAAGTTAATGTAAGGTTCTGATTAGTCAAGTTCTGGTGAAGTTTTATTTTTCAATTCATTTGAGTACAATTTTAAACATATCACGGGCTGAAGCATTGTATTTGTTCCTTCTGAACAAAATTTTGAAATTCATTGAAGTTTTCTTAGTCCGTTACTAATTCTTACACTCATATAGTTTTAAAGAAACATTATACCTCTGCACATTATTAACTATGGATTTACCTTTGCCAATTTATACTAATATATTACTGTCCAATACAAGCAACTTGTTTAAAGTAAAAACTATTGCGCAATTTAAAATATGATTAAAGTAACCTAAAATTGCTCCCTATATATTTTTAAATGGTCACATAAATTGATCATCTGTGTGGGAGGCAATCTGTAGGCATGAGCATTTAAATCCCTGTTTAATTTTTGAAACACCAAAACGTGTAATCAAGTACAGATGGCAACGTGACCAGCCGATTCAATAGAAGTATAATTTCACCAGCTTCCCCAAACATTTGGTGTTTTGCAGATAGAAATGTGGGGACTAACTGATGCTTTTATTTCCTCATTCAACGAGCAACTGCGGGTGCCTAGCGGGGGAGAGAGAAAAGGCTAACCGATAGAGGATGATTTGGGTTTTTATTTCCATATTTAGGCACATTTTTGCAGCTGCAACAAATTTCATAAGGATTGCCAACGTAAAGCTCCAGGGAAATTCAGAATAAATTCTCCAGACACTGTTCATTTGTAGGGGGAGAGAATTTGGCAGGTGAGGAATTTCGATCTGATTGATTAGTGACTGCGGCAGCTGCAACATTTGGGATGACATGCATAAAACCCAGCCTGGCGCGCAAAGCTGCCGTGCTTCATAAAAACTGAGCGGGAAGGAACGGGGGCAGCGTGCAAGCATCCAGACTGTCTAAACTGTAGCATGACATCAACCTTTGTTTCTTAAGTTCTTTATATAAAATAATTATTTGATATTAAAATCTAAATCAGAGAGGTTTAGGAAGATCCCTTCCTACTAAGTTTATTAGCTTAAAAAGAGCCTGAACAATATAAAGATGTCATTATTTAGACATAAGCATCAGAAGATTCAATGGTTAAAATGCCTTATATATGACCAAAGCAGTTATCTTAATTTACAAAATCCATCCCTTTGTCCCAGCCAAAGATCTAATACCTAAAATCACTGTCACTTGCCCCATGGGCTGTAGCAAAAACAGTCTGACCCCTCCACCGTGAAAGCAGGGTTTCGCTGCTGCAACCAATAGTAACTGTGGTTCAGCTACCACTCTCCCTTCAGGTAATTAGAAGCACTCACATGTAACACCTTTTGCTTTCCACCTAAAAATATTGTTACCTGGTCCCCAGACCTAAATAAAATGCCATCTAAAACCTAAAGTTTATTTGGATTAGATGTTTCCTACTGTTATGTATTGCTGAGCAGAGATTTAAAACTTAAGAATTATAATTTTACCCAGTAGGGGAGTCCCATTCTCTAATTAGTTAACGACAGAACCAAGAATGAAAAATGCTGAAGCAATGTTCTTGCTGGGTTTTAACACTAATAATCACTCAGTCAAACAAGCATAGGAAGGCAGGGGCACATTTGGGACATAGTTTCTCAAGTCCATTATAATGGGTTGGTCATCACAGCCGACCTTTCCGATTCTCCAAGTCAGGAGATACAGAAGCCAAGTCAGAGCAGAGTGGCATGTGGTGTCCAGTTTAATATGCACGTATAAAGGTTGCTTACAAGTCCTTTGGGAGTTTGATTTCTAGCAATGGTTCCAAAATGCCTGAAAGAACACTCTTTATCCAAATGTTATTTTAAAGCCCCATCTTATATTATCTAAGAATAAAATTTATCACATCATCAGCATATCTAAAATAATTATTGACAGTATCTTTCCCCTGAATGCTTTCCATGGTTAGAAAAAGGAATTCAATAGATCTAGTTGCTAAAAATGAATTGCAGCATTAATTTATAATATAGTGTAGTCTTTAAATTGCTTATCCATGGTTCAAACCGAAACTAGATCAATATATTTAATCAGACTTCTTACTGCAAATCAAAACTTTTATAAATTACTAAAAATTTCAAATGTTAGGTTTCTAATTATATTTTTGCAGTAAAACCAATGTGTCTATCAGGTGAGTTCAAAGAGTCACTGGGAAGACGAGATGTAAGTGCGGTTCTCCAATTAGCAGCCCTAGCACCAACAACCTGGGAACTTACAGAAATGCATATTCTTGGGCCCCACCCAGACCTACTAAATCAGAAACCCAATGGGTGGGACCCAGCAATCTCTTTTAAGAATCCCTCCCCCATAAGGTCCTGACACACGAAAAACTTTTAAGAATGAACAATGAGAGCATGGGTTCTGCAGTCGGACTAACTTGGGGATCAGCTTGAGTGCTTTCATTAGTAGCTGTGTGACTCTGAGCAAGTTCATTAAGGTTCCTGAGTCTTTTTCCTGAATCTGTGAAAATGAGATAATGGTACCTACCTTCAAGAAGCTTGAGGAGGAAATGAGATGCCATATAGTAAAGTGCCTGGCACACGGTAGGCGCTCAAAAATTGCTAGATTCTTCAGTTCTTATCCAGGAACATGACATTAAAGTCAGGAAAACAAATACTTTTCACAATTTAGCTTTTGCACAATGTGCTAAGTCTCCAACTGAACAGCTCTTACCAAGACTGAAGTTTTTGATTCAGAAAAACACAAACGTAGCTATTGTTTTCTCTCCCTTAATTGTATTTTGCACTATTAGGTTTATAGCTTTAAAGTAATACTGTTTAAAATAATACGGAGTATGAATCTTGTTACAAACACATCTAGTCTGAATCGATGTGAAAGGCCCAGTATGCAAAGGCGATCTGTCAAATTCAGGGCAGCCAGAATGGATCCTGTAAAGGCTGCCTCCCTGGGGGAGCCCCTTTAGATTCATTGTGTAGTTCCCAAACGGATAGGGACATTTCCTCTGCTACAACATCCCAGTTTGTCAACTATTACCTTTGTCCAACATTCATAAAATTCTACATTCTTTGCCTTGCAATTGTTTTCTAGGTTTGCAGTAGCTCCCTTCCTCACTTCTCCAGTGTTCTCAAAGCTCTTTTCTTGTGTTTCTACGTAAGTTATAATCCAGTGATGTTAACATTTTAAAAACTAAAAGGATGGTGTTTTTAAGTGCTTTATAAAGTATTAGGTATTGTGATTGATCAGTGCCCAAGCTTAGAATAATTACATTTTTATGGTACAAATACACTTTGTTTTAAGCATATGCAATATAGAAAATTCATAGGAGGACAAATTATAAATGACAGTATGAAAAGAAATTATCACAAGGCTTATTTATATAAACCATTAAGTGGAGGTTGAGGGATATTATTAACAAGAAGTTATTTAAAACTAACAAGTTAGCCTGGTCAGTGTGGCTCAGTCGGTTGGCGCGTCCATCGTCCCAAGCACCAAAAGGCGATGGGCTTGCTCCTCGGTGAGGGTGCATATCCAGGTTGTGGGTTCAATCCCTGGTCAGGGCATGTGCCGCGGGCAACCCAGTCATATCTCTCTCACACTGATGTTTCTCTATCTCTACTGAAAAAAAATAAAACTAACAAGTTATTACTATGAATAGAAGAATAAAACATCTACAGAAATCAATGCTAAGAACACAGATGTTAAGAATACAATCAATTGACCAACTTCATTATTCTACCAATCATAACCCAACTTTTAAATGGGAATAGCAATAATTACAGAAATAGTCCCAATAAAATGTTAGTATATAAAGTGGCAATATTAACATGGTTATTCTTGAAAAGCTAATGTCAAGACTTAAATTCCTAAATTGTAGTCATGACATCTGTGACTTCCATTAATTTATATTTTGAGAGACATAAAATAATTTGGTACACTTCTGATTTTAAAGTGCTATATGTTTAACCTTAATTCTCTGTACTGTTTTATTGTTTTTAAATTGAAAATAATCACAACTATATTTTTTCATGCTGACATTACATTGTTTGACTGTACAAGAAAACTCCACACCATTCCATCATCATTATTTTATTTAGGAGTAAAATTCAAGGATCAGTAACCTTGTAATTAACTCCTCCACAGTTTCATCAAAATGCACCTGTAATTACAGCAACTTTGAAATGACAAGACACCCTTTTTCCTAATATTAAATAAGATAAAAATATTGAGGAATCCCTAGTTTTTATCTCCTAGGCACCTACTGATTTTAATTAAAGGCACATTACCTCATTTTAGCTGAAATCTGCATTCTATAATTTAGATCGGAAAATGTATTTAACAGAATGTTTTGCCGATTAAAGAATAGATTTCAAAAAACAATGTATGATCACTTGAAAATATCAGTTTATATATTAACTGATATAAAGAAGCTCAGTTGCATTGGTTAAGTAGTATCTTGGAATGCTTTAAACATAATGAAACAATCTACCAAAACACACACTATTTCCGTCCTTATGCACATAATGTAGCATGAAATCATGATGCTTTTGAAATACTCTGTGCAGAAATATTTATTTTTTAGCAAATATTTTCTTCAAAGATTGGTATGTGGTATTGACAGTGTAATCTACTTGCACAACTAGTTTTGCAATAACCTCTACAAATAACTGTAAATACAAAAACTGTAAATGTCATGTAAAAATGATTGCAAATTTTTGGTAGCTAAAAGTGTACAAGTTGTATTGAAAATATAGCATATATACATAATTTAAGAATGAAGCATATAATTTCTCATCTATTTATACATGAAAACTGAAGAATTTGTAAAAGAAATTATTTTGGGGAAAAAGAAAGTAAATCTCAATAGCTAGTTAGGATACTTTTATTAGCAAAGTCAACTATTTCCAACATTTTACTAGGCACAGTACGATACAGGCATGGTGGTGCTGATGTATTTCACGAAATCACGTAATTGTAACAGTGCATCTACAGTTTTACCTACGTTCCACTAGGACACTGGTCAGCTGGACTGAGTGGGAAAAGCATTAAATCAAAATTAAGCAAAAACATTTTTATTTTATTGCTGCCTATCAAGAATACAATAGTTATTTACTAAAACATTTGATCACTTAAAATTTCTGATGCTGAAGAAGTTTTAACTTACTTGTAAAATAAAATTGTTATAATGTATGCTTGATTCATTTGTCATCTGGATCAAATATCCAGATTAACATTATTTTCATTTGTGTAAGTTTCATACATTCTAGAATCATTAATCTATTATTTAAGAAAAAAAGTCAAACTGTCTTCAAAGAAAACTTTTAAATAAAATTTGTTGGTCACGGTGGAAATTTGCTAAGCTAAGGACTGTTTAATCTGTTTAGAAGATTTAGATCTAGTGGTTTAGAATTCCCACCATTCATTTTTAAGGTTTAAAAGTCCAAGAGAACATTTCTCTATTTGATAAATGAAAAACTAAACCAAATACAGATTAGCAGAAATCACTGTATTGATATCTACAAGTGAGGCTGATTATAAAACAAGAATCAAAATATGAAAAAGCTTAATATTTAAAAACATCTCTTGTAAGAAAAATTGGGGGGTACTGAATTTAGATTGCTTTGGGAATTGAAACATGCACCCAAAAGTTTAGTTAATTCTAAAATCATTTTTAAATGGCCTATAATTTTCAAAAGAATATGGCTCTTTAGTTTGTATGTTTCTAGAACAATCATACTAGCACTGCTCAGGTTGTCCTTTGAAATTTCAGTAATTGTAGCAAGGTAAAATGTGATTAAATCCAGTTAACTAAAATGCAAATGACAGTATGCATGTATCTGTAAAGTATGTATATTTTTATGCTTAAGAGAAAAGGTTGGACAGCCCNAATCCAGTTAACTAAAATGCAAATGACAGTATGCATGTATCTGTAAAGTACATATTTATATTTTTATGCTTAAGAGAAAAGGTTGGACAGCCCCCCACCCCACATACACACAAGCAATGTTACCAGAAGGTACTAATTCCTGGCATAGCTAGTAAATGATGAGCTCACTCAATTCTTCTCATTCCCTGTAAACTTTCCAAATTGCCACTATCTCTGATGTTGCAGAAGAGGTACACCTTAAAACAGTAAGTAGCACATAGGCAAGGGCCCTCCTCATTCTCTAACTCTATGCACATCATAGTTATGTAGAAGTGCTGCCAATGTCGACTTACTATCTATTCAGATATATAGAAGCACACCTGAGTTTTGAATGCTCGCAAATACACAAAGCTGCATATTACCAAGCTACCTGGGCAAAAAAAATGTTAAGTAACATAAGACTCTTCTTTTATATGCCAGTAAAATACATTTTTAAAAACAAGTAGAAAAAGACATGGCAAGAATTAAAAGCACAAGGTTTCTCAGAATTCAAATGAGCTGATAGACAAATTTTTTGTAAGTTTTCCAGTGTTTTGCAGGACATTTTGTGCTCAATACTCTAAATGACAGAACAATTTTAATATATGTATATATGTGATGCCATGGCCTTATTCTAGACCACAAATATATGAACAGTATTCATTTAAAATCCTTTCTGCATTTATCACTGTAACAGTTCAAAATATTTTTTGCATCACCTAATATTGTTATGAAGTCTAGACATACTCTTGGATACCTTAGCATTGTACATTTCTTTCAAAGCCCTTTACTATGGTACATGACTGAATTGAGACCAAAAAATATTGTGATCTTTTAATACAAGTTTAAGGTAATAAAACACCCATGGTTGCATTATAAAGTTTAAGAGAAAAGAAAAATATGCTAAACTGAAAGAAGTGTTGGAATTTACTTCCTAGATTTACCAGATTTTTCACAAATTTATTCCTATTAGTCTCTCAGAAAACTGCTACAAATAGGAGAAAACATATCATCTATGAAGTTGTCAAACAGAAAGACCAAGAAAAGCACAGTTCCGACAAACAGTATTTATTTTGTTTGTCCAGTTCAGTAATGCCATAAGGTTACAAGTGAACTTGACTTGTATTTTTACTTAAAGTAATCACAAATCGATGTTTTTGTTATNCAGTTCAGTAATGCCATAAGGTTACAAGTGAACTTGACTTGTATTTTTACTTAATCACAAATCGATGTTTTTGTTACTTTTTAATTGCACACTTTAAGCTACATTAATAAATTCTACTTTCTTCCAGGGTTTTTTCTGGAAATAAACATATCACTTAATATTTTTATTATTTTTGTTTCTGAATGCATGCTTAAATAGAGCAAATGAGCACAGTCCTTAGGATTACACTTACAGTGGACCAAATTAACATTCTAATAGTATTGATTTCCCCTTGATGTAATTTAAAATGTGTAAACTAGCACTGGCAATAGAAGTGGAATACCTGACATTTATTTGGCAGTCTTTTTGGCATAGGTGAATTACTGCACTGCTATTTGAATGGAAGCCTCTCATAATATGTATGTAACAGATTTTGTATGATACTAAAATTTACAGCAAGCTATTTGAATGTTTATTAAAAAATTCTCAAAATGACATGGAAATGTGTACTGTATAAATAAAAGCACTTGGAGATTAAGAGTGTATATTATTCAATAACTTATACCATAAGAAAACCGGGCATGAATTAACCAGTACAAACTACCATATTGATATAACATATTAATTGTCCAGTCGTGTTCATCATAAAACCATTTATTACTTTAGTGATGGATGTTGGTTTACATCAGTTATCTTAAAACACTGAGTGAATTGCATTTCAGTATAAAAACCCCAGTAAAATATTTTACCTATTTTTTGTCAGGTCAGCAAAAAATGTATTTTTTGGTGTGCTGCAGAATTTTGGTAATTATGTCCCCCATGAGATGAAAAAGATTGAAAATCGCTACGTTAGAGAACTGTGTAAAGAGTTCTGACAAAGTATCATTTGGCAAAACTTATGGTCATTTTTAATGTTTGGTCTCAACTAGGAGCCTACAAACAAGGACAATTATAACTGACCTCAGAAGAGTACGGTAACTTGACCACCTGTAAGCTGGATGTTCAGATTCTAGACTGCTGAGTCACATCATCTTATTCTATGGGAATGATATGTACAGTGTGTTTACATTAGCTTTTCCTGCAACACTTCTATTTAAAATTCTGTATTTTTTATGGTTCAGTTAATGCCTTCTCACATTATCAAATACATGTTCAAGAAAAACAATTAACAACTAGAGACAAAGTCACACAGGTTACTTATATGCATCCCTTTATAAAACTGACCAAATGAACTGAGCAGCTAATTAATTATATAAAAGTATCAGTATCAAAACAACTGTAAGTCCTTTCCAGGATATTTTTTTAAAGTGAAAGTTGACCTAAAATTTTCTAAGTTAATACATGCTTTTTTTTCAAGATAATACCATTCATCATCCATTTTTAAAGAAACATAGTTTTATAAAAACTATATATTAATTTGGTCACCAGCCATACTAAAATTATGTCAATTTGTACAGTACTGCCCCCGTATCCACAGTTTCAGTTTCTAAGATTAGCTGTGGTCTGAAAATTTAAAATGGAAAATTCCAGAAATCAACAATTCATAAGTTTGAAACTGCGTGCTGTTCTGAGTGTGAAGAAATCTCGAGTTNGTTTCTAAGATTAGCTGTGGTCTGAAAATTTAAAATGGAAAATTCCAGAAATCAACAATTCATAAGTTTGAAACTGCGTGCTGTTCTGAGTGTGAAGAAATCTCGAGTTGTTCCAGTCCATCCGTCCTGGTACATGAATCATGCCTTTGCCCAGCATAGCCATGCTGCATGTGCAATACAGTAAGATACTTTAAGTTTCAGAGACCACATCCACATCACTTTTAGTACAGTACATTGTTATAATACTCTGTATTTACTGTTTTTAGTCTCTTGCTGTGTGCAATTTGTAAATTAAACTTTTATCATAGGTATGTGTATATAGGAAAGAACACAGTATTTATAGTTAGGTACTATCTGTGGTTTTGGGCATCCACCGAGGATCTTGGGATATATCCCTCTGGATCGGGGGGGACTACTGTATTTACTTTAAGCTGAGGAAGATATGCAGTTAAAGCATGTTTATTAAAAAGACTTAAGGTGTTGCCAAAAAAGTGGCTGGATTAGGTATAGCTTATACCAGGGATTTTAAATGCTAAAAACCTGGTGACCCAACTTTGCAATTTCCATTGTAATACCACTCAGAAATATTGGTGTGGTGTCTACCATGCTCTGTACCCCACATTACACAGATGCGCTCAAAAGACTGACTGACTGGTTTACCAATGCCAAAACCACCAGCTAATGTTGTCAAGAAAGTCAAATTTATAATTTCTGAACATTGAAACAAAGTGGTATATTACTTGATTTTTAACTTTATACACAGTTGGCATAATATATAAACAATTTAGTTTAACGGAACAAATTTAAATGTTGACATTTCATTAAAAATGTGTCGTTTCCAGAAAAATCTAGATTTATAAAGATGCCATTTTAGGTTATCTATGTCTTCAATAACAAAACAAAGTGAAGAGAGAAAAGTTGTTTATTAAGAACTTTTTTCCATAGAAGACAACAAAACACACTGAAGAAAATATACAATGTAAAGAATAAAAAAAGAAAAGTGAGGCCTCCTGTAGCCCTTTTTCACTATAGATTATTTTATGGTCCACCTAAGGTGATTTAAGATAAAATTTTAGGAACTACAGTTTTCTTCTTCACAGTTAAAGACCTGTGAGTTTCTGTTCTCAGATAATGTAAGAACAAACCCTATGACAAATATGGCACAAAATCCAGGACTGCCCTCCTAGCTTACCTTCACTTCAAATGCCAACAACTACAAACAAAATCTGAAAGTAAAATTTGTAACCTTCGGATAAGTATAAATAAATTTTATCTAGGCTTTCATCATTTGGCTTCTTATATAACCTTATAAGTACACTCCTCCAAGTTTATATTGTTAAAAATTAAGGCTAAGAGATATTTACATCAATTAATCATATATCAATATATGATGATATTATACAGATACCCATAAAGTGGTAACTTTACTAAAAGCAGAAACATCCCAAATACAAAAACATATTTTATTGCATTGAATTATGTGCTAAAATAATACCACATTATAGTAGAGATATATGTTAGATATATATTATAAAGGGAAGAGATTTAACAGGTAGAAACATGGAAAAGCCCTAAAATCTTTAATTTGAAGTAGTCCAGTTCATTTCTTCCAAGTAGAAACATTCACAGTTATTTCTTCAGTTTTCAAATTTTAAGCATTCAAATTGCCATAGTGCCCTGCAAAAACTAATATATAAACAAAATCATCAGCTGGTAACAAAATGGTGTTTGTTTTTGATTAATTATATTTCATAAAAGTATTTTCACAAGATGAGAATTTTTTTCTCTTGTGTATTTTTTTTTTTAATTTATCTTTATTGTTGAAAGTATTACAGATGTCCCTTTTTCTCCATGGACCCCTTCTACCCCACACCTACACTCTCTCCCCATGCCTTCCAAGGCATATAATTCAACCAGTAATATACTAGTAGGATAATGTTGACCCTGTATCTTCCACATAAAAACAAAACAAAACAAAAACCCTAAAACATTGAAACACATGTGAAATATCACTTTCCTGCAGTATAAATTAAAAAAAAAAGAAAAAAAAGCTGTATTCAGGTTAATAGCAACCATTTGAAATGAGAAATGAACAGCTTTATAATCTACCACAGATGAAAATTTCCTATTCTATTACAACTAAGAAAGATGATCACAAGTAAACTACTCTTCATAAAGATAATGGCAGTTTTGCCCTTAAAAATGATTTGGAAGAAAAACTGCCAAAAACCTGTCATAAAATTTAAAAGTATGTTTTATGTTTAATATAAAGTCAAGTTAGTATTTGTACCAATAGTTAATCTTATATTTGAATTCAGCTGAAAAATATAGAAAAAGAACATGGCCTATAAAATATATCATTCCTTGTATTGGTAGAGGGATCACTTAAATGTTTTTTATAACTATGAACACATCTAGAATGCAGTGTAAATATCAGAAGTTTACACAGGATACTCACATCATCATATATGAAATTCACAACCCCTTGTTGCAAGTGGTCTCTTCTCCTAAAGAAATCTTTCAACAAACAGATTACTTTTTTATTATAATTGAAAATCTACAGTTTCAAATACTTGGTATCCTCTGGTATTAAAATATAAATAATTTCATACTCAATTAAATGATTATATTAAGTGATTATATAGCTCAGACATGAAAACACCTCCAAAACTGAGCTAAAACAATTTTTCACTATTTATATTTCAAAAATGTTAAAGCCTTAACACTTTGATTAGATTTAATAGTGAATAAAGGGGAAAAACATATATTATTAACTTGCTGGAGAAAACAACAGACATTACTTAAGAAAAATAGCCACATGACACTGTACCCATTTTTAAAGTCAATACCTGTCAATGCTCGAAGTTTCACACAGCAAGCGACATAATCATCAAAGAAGATCCTGCCATTCTTGCTATAACGTTTAACAATAGCATTTAATGTTTGAGGACTCAATCTATAACCTAAACAAAAGGGATTGATAAATTAAAACTTCTAAAACTAAACACCGTAAGAAGACTACAGCAAATGCCGCATTCTTGTTAAAAGTCATAAATGAACTTTCAAAATTCATTCCATAAAAAACACGTTAAAAACAAAATACAATGTTAGAAACAAAACTTACATTCATACTGAAACTGATCAAAGCAACTATTAATCACTAACTGTGGCACATAAATATCACAAATCTAACTTTATAATAAAATCAAAGCTAAAAAAATTATTTTTTGTGTTTTTAAAAATACTTTGATTTTGAAATAATGTCTAGGGTATTTCATAGGTTTTAATGCTTCAATATTTCAAGTCTGTAATTTTATTTTTTTTACCCTTTAGGTATGGTTTTTTATTTATTTTTTGTCATTTTATTTACTTTTTTATTAAGGTATAACTGACATAACATTATACTTCAGGTATACAACATAATGATTTTTTATTTGTATGTATTGCAAAATGATCACCATAGTAAGTCTAGTTAACATCTGTCACCACACACAGTACAAATTGCTTTTTTTTGTTGTGATAAGAACTTTTAAGATCTATTTTCTCAGCAACTTTCAAACATTCAATACAGTATTATTATAGTCAGTATGCTGTATATTACATCCCCATAGCTACTTATTTTATAATTGGAAATCTGTACCTTTTGACCCCCTTCATCCATGAATTCTGTAAATTACAGAACTTTAAAGAATATCAAAGAAAAAATTATTAGTGATCTTTGTGACCATTCAAATCCACTGAATATGTTACTTACAGTGTCTTTTATAGCCTGAGAAAATTTGAAAATAACCATCAACATGGTTATTCAGAAGGGGAAGAAATAGGAAAATATTACTCCTTTATGTCCCATAACCCTTACTGTTTCTTCACAGACTTTTATCACTATTTCCCTGGTTTCTTGTTATCTAGGCCTGTGGTCTCCAAAAGTTTTTGATTGTGTTCTTCTATCAGTAAAAAGTTTTGGATCATTCATTCTATTATATGTGTTTTAAATTCTATACATGTATTACTGTTTGATTATTTACACTTTAAAATATACCTAAAACTAAAATTTAAAAAGAATAAAATAAAAATAATTAGAAACATAAATTAATGTATTCTACTTTCTGGATCCGTATAGATGGTCTCATGTATTTAATGAGATGTGTGCACTTTACAGTGAAGAATGACAGCCTAGAAGAATTGTCTTTATTATTACTGGGTTAGTAGATTTGGGCAAAAGACACTAATTCATTCAAAGGGGAAAACAATAAAAATAAACGTAACTGGAGAAAATTCTATGTGTAGCTATAACAAAATGTAATGCAGGAAACTTGCTAAAAGTAAATAAAAGGAAAGGTATAAATTAATAGAAGCAGCAAGTAAAACACACAAACTAATGTAGTTAAATACAAATCCATTTTGAGCTTTCTGTTGGAGAGTTATGATCTGGATGTGGTACTGATAAAATTCTTAAGATTTCCCATAACATTCTTAGCAAAATAACTTGAATATTTTTAAATATATATGAAGATCTTAAATTTGAATAATCTAGAATACCTCTTTGTTATATTCAACTGCCTATGTGAACTCTTCGGTGGTTTTCTTTTTTACAAAAGGTTACATTAATTCTCCAACAATATGCTAAATTAAGCAAGTTTAATCCATTAGTTATTAAGCTCTATAATTGAATTATACATGTTTATATAGCCAGGGCTGTCCCTAAAATGACCACTTATTAAATTAAAATGTCTATTTATAAAACAAAACAAATCACTAGTGTGACTTCTTTAAATTGGAATTTGAGAAAATTTGCATTGGTTTCAGATTTTAACTTTCAAAAAGTTAATTTTCTTACAAATGTATTTTGTTTAGAAATGAGTATAAATAAAAGCACAAGGGTAAACAATTTAAAAAACTACTTAAGACTGTGTTAACTGTAAGCAAGTTAAACAGTATTGTACATAATCACTTTTTCAAAGAAAGACTTAGAACCTTAGCTTATCAGAGATTATAAAAATAAAGTTAAATTCTTTTAAAATATTCTAAAATGCATACTTCTGATTAGGAGGTATTTTGGTGTCTACTGTGTGTTCTATACTATAAAAGAAAAAAATAAACAAAAATGTGGTTTTTACTGCCTAAAAGCTAGATTATAATATGAAAAACTCTCATCAAGATAAGCCCCGCCAAATTGGAGGTCTTACCAAGTTACAAAATAATACAATATAAATGGTAAGTAAGTACTAAAAATTAGAGGAATGAATTTAAATATATTCAACAGAGAAAATTCAGAAGTTATTTTGTCATCCAGAATATACGAAAGTTCATTTTTTCAAAAAATAATGGATAAAATTATTTGGCTTTTGTTAAAAATCCTTAGTCAGAATTTACCTACAACCTTGAAATCAAACTAGGCAACAGTTGGTGAAATAACATTCCTTTATTACTTAGCAAATTAAAACAATTAAGATTCATCTGATCAAAGAACAAAGATAACCTGGATGGATGCTAAAGAACTGTAATATTCTTACCCATGGCAGCAATGGCTTGATTCAATTCATGATGTTCCACTGTGCCACTTCGGTCTTGATCAATGGTTATGAAGTTTTGTTTCCAGGCATTAAGAGCTGCCCAAAGTTCTTTGAATTCATTAAATCCCATTTTTCCTGTGTAATCTCTCTAATAGTTTTATTAAGAAAAATAAATTTTGATACCAAAGAAAATTTACCTAATCCAAAACTCCAAATCATTAAAAAAAAAAAAAAAAAAAAAAG